ATGATGCAGGGGAATTTCCATTATACAATCAGCATCAATAGGCCAGAAGTTTTCTCTAATGAGATTTTCATCCCACTCTCCGGATGCTGGGTCAATGAACCCATTCATCCCGGCTAGCATTCTGTTTCCACGAGGAGTAATGATTTTCCTGGAGGAGTTGTTCGGCACCCAACAATCCTCCCATATATTTATCTTTAGGCCGTTGCCAACCCTCCAAATACCCCCTTTCTTGAATGTTTGAACTCCGGCCCATATACTTTGCCAGACAAAAGAAGAGCCTTGTTTCAAACTGCAGTTGAGCAGTTCACCAGTAGCGATTCATGGTACTCAATAAGTCTCCAACATTGCTTTGCTAGGAGTGCCAAATTAAAACTGTGTATATCACGAAAGCCCATCCCTCCTCTCTCCTTTGGAATGCACATTTTCCACCAAGCAAACCAATGCATCTTTTGTTGGTTTTCCCCATCACCCCACCAATAATGCGAAATGGCGTCAGTGATCCCCTTGCAGATTTTCTTCGGGAATTTAAACACACTCATCACATACGTAGGGATGGCTTGGGCCACCGCTTTGATCAATGCTTCCTTACCCCCATAGGATAGTGTTCGTTCCTTCCACCCATTTATCATCTTCTGGATCCTCTCAATTATATGCTTGAAACAGTCAACCTAATCTACCCCAATCATAGAGCGAAGGCCCAAATACTTATCAGAAAGTGATTCGGTAATAATGTCCAGTATCTGGCAGACCTCTACCTTCCTGTCCACATATGTATTGGAGCTGAAGTAAACCGATGATTTTGCAATGCTTACCATATGTCCAGAGGCCGAACAGTAATCATCCAATATCCTTTTTAAAGTGTTCGCATTCTCCATGTCTGCTCTCATAAGGATTAGCGAGTCGTCAGCAAAGAGTAAGTGGGAATCATGGCACACCTGGACACCATTCAGGTTACCCGCTGCTTCCTCAAATGCTATTAAGTTTGATAGCCCTTCTGCACATAATAGAAAGAGATAGGGAGACAGGGGGTCTCCTTGCCTCAAGCCTCTCGTTGGATGGAACAGTGCAGTCTCATTTGAATTAAACCGTACTTTGTACTCCACAGAGGTTACACATGCCATGATGAGATCAATCCATCTCTCTTCAAAGCCGAGTCTACCAAGAATCGCCTTTAGGAAAATCCATTCAACCCTGTCATAGGCCTTGTGCATATCAAGTTTTACTGCACAATTCCCTACTCTCCCCTTCTTCTTCTTCTTCATCGTATGGAGGCATTCATAGGCTACAATCACATTATCTGTTATGATCCGGCCAGGTACGAATGCACTTTGTGTCTCACTGATAATGTCAGGCAGGAAAAACTTTAGACGTGCAGCGAGCATCTTAGATACCACCTTATAAACAACATTGCAAAGACTTATGGGCCTGAATTGGGATACCTTCTCTGGCACGTCAACTTTCAGTATTAAGATAATAGTAGTGGTATTCCAACCTTCAGGGATGACCCCAGTATTCATCGCCTCAAAACTTCCTTCACCAAATCATCACCCAATAGATGCCAATTTTTTTATAAAAGATCGCGTGTAAGCCATCAGGCCCCGGTGCTTTTAAGTCGCCTATGCTGAAAAGAGCACGCTTAACTTATTCTTCAGTGTAAGGCGCCAAAAGTGCTTCATTCATGTAAGGAGTAACACGCAGAGTCACTTTAGTAATTACATCCATATTCGGTACATCGACCTCTGAGGTAAAAAGGTTCTGAAAATAGCTATCTATGAGATTTTTCATCGCCTCCTTATCCTCTTGCCATCCACCATTTTCATCCATTAGTCTCCGGATGTAGTTTCTTTTCTTCCGGGCTGAGGCGAAATTGTTGAAGTAATTTGTGTTTCTGTCTCCAAACTTCAACCAATTAGCCCTACTGTGTTGGACCCAGTAAATTTCCTCCTTTTCCATAGTCTCTTCAATCTCAATCAGTAATTCATGCTGCCTATATGCCGACTCATCAGTGAGTAGCCCCAATCGCAGCTGTTCCAGCTCCTTCTTAAGGTCCTTCAAATGACGGTGTGGTGCTTTCAGTACTTCCCGATCCCATTTATGCAGATCCTGGTGTACCGCTGTCGTATGACTTGCCAAGCAGTCATACATGCAAGTACTCTCCCAAGCCTCTGTGACCCTCTGCAACATCTCCTCCTCCTGTAGCCAGCGAGCTTCAAACTGTTTTGACCTTGGGCTAGTCTGCTGGTCCATACCTGCTGCACCTTCCAAGTCAATCACCACCGGTCTATGATCCGATTTTGTGTGGGGTGCATTTGTAACTACAGCAGCGGGAAACAGTCCAAAGAATGCTCCATTGCATACCGTTCTGTCCAGACGTTCCCTCAATCTGCGCCTTCGCCACGTGAACTGCTCACCAACAAAACCCATGTCCTCGAGTTCACAATCAACCAGTCCATCTCTGAAGTTTTGCATCATACCAACTGGCCTCGGTGCTCCCCCCTCCTTCTCATGCGAGTATAAGATCTCGTTGAAGTCACCCACAACTACCCATGGGAGTTGGTTCTGTTGAGATAGACCACATAAGCAGCTCCAAGACAAATGTTTGTCCTTCCATTTAGGCTCACCATAGAAACCTGTAAGTCTCCATTGCTCTTCCATTGCCCCCCCACCACTACGTCAATGAAATTCTTTGTCTTATCCTTTATGTTAATCACAATGGGATTGCGCCAAAAGAGGAGTAACCCGCCGCTAGCACCCACACTTTCCACCACCTCCACTCGGTCCATTTTCATTTTCCTCATCAGTTTGTTTGCCCTAGCTGTATTCAGATGTGTCTCGGACAAAAAGACGACATCTGGCTCCCACTGCTTCTGGATATCCAGAAGAGCCCTTTCTGCCGCGGCATTGGCCATACCACGGCAGTTCCAACTTAAAGTTTTCATTGTGCCTGGCGATCCTCCTCGAAGGAGGTCGCCGATTGCTGAGCTAAAGTGTCGTCTGACACACTCGGGTCAAACCTTTGCCTTTTCAGATCGTGTATTTTCTGCGGGGTGCTTAAAAGTTTTTTATCCACAGGTTCAGCTGATTTACTCTCAATGAGGTTTACCTTGTCTGATACAAACCCAATGGTTGGATTTGCAGGACCTGCGGTTCTCACAAAAGCATTTCCATCTTAGCCAATTAGGCGTTTATGTGCAACCGGGACCATTGCACCAGCACCATTGTCAAACCTTTTGTCCACCATCATGTCATTACTCTCCTCCACATTAGGGTGTCCATTATTGCCTCTTCCTCCCTCGGTGCCTCTACCCTTGCCCGTTCGTCCTCCTCCGCGGCCAGATCCATTGCCGTTCCCACGGTTTGACTGCGTACTATAGTTCACCAAGAGCCATTCTCCCCATTCACATTCCTCTTCTCTGTGTATACCATCCCTGCATTCCAGCACTGTGTGACCCATCAGGCCTCAGAAATAACAGAACTCAGGAAGTTTTTCATACTCCACCGGGTACCTCTTGCTCTCCTTCAAGGTTAACGGGACAAAGCGCACCAGCGGGGTATCTAGCTTCACAAACACCCGAGCCCGAAGGTACTTTCTCAGATTAATCCTTCCTTCATTCACTATCGCGTTGAAAGGCGGAACTCCCACTTTCGCCGCTATCTTTTCAGCAATTTCCTTTTTCTTCACCAATCCATCTGGCGGTTCAATAATCCTCGCCCATACAGGAATCCTATCAAGCTTGTATTCATGAACGTTTGTTATACCATCATATTCTTCCAGGGCCACTGCAGAGTTCCGGAATAGCCTGGGGCCATTATTCATCACCCTATTCCAGTCCCCCACGCACATGAATTGTGCCAAGAAGAGAATGTCACCCTTCGCCTTGAAGATCACCCATCCATTACGTAGCGATTTGAACAACGCCGTATGGCTGAAGGGTCTAAGGGTATGAACCCTAAAGATCGCAATCCAGCGTGTTTCTTCAATCAACCCTTCAATCTCCTCCGAGAGATCAAGGTCCTCCTCCTCCTCCCCATGGAGATTCAGTCCAAAAAACCGGTCCTCCAGATTGCAGCCACCGTCACGGGGTCCCCCCGATCCGCCGCTACCGCCCGCCTTCTCCGTCGAGGGCATTTTTGCCGCCGTTCCAGCCATGAATCCACGCTCCTAGGCTGTTTTGGTGTGGATGATCACGTGTAGATCGACCCGAGGATCAATCCAACGTGAGAAATCGGGTAAAGGTTGGTATAGGTTGGGAACCCTAGCGTGCCGCCAGGGGAGGTTGGGAGCCCTAGCGTGCCGCCAGGGGAGGTTGGGAAAAGTAGTATTGAAACGCGCATTCGTCGAACATGCCGAGTAGTAAATTGTTTGAGGGGAGGTTTTGCAACAACAAAAAACATAAAATCATGACTTCAATGCGACACTACGACGAGCTCCCGCCCTCAGAGAGGATTCTGATCCTTGGAATTTTTGACATTCAACCAAGAAGCAGAAGATGAAGAGAAGGAGATGCTGGAGCTTATTTGGAGCAGACGGAGGCAACAGTGAGAAGGCGGGGTTCATGCTGTAATGATTGTTCACAATCCACAAACCAGTAGGAAGCTCCAACTTCCACATAATGCACCTTCTATATTGATCAGACTGAACATGCACAAAATCAACGAGATTCGTAAGCAGCTAAAGAGTTTGCCGCATTCTTAAAGTACAAAAGTACAGTACACATAACAATCTGGAAAACATCCATGACTGGAGCACGCTGGCTTCTGATATCTCTGAAAACAGCAAGGGAAAACGCAGCAAAGTCATTTCCCTGACTTCGTATGTCTGCAGGAATCACTACTAGTACAACAGTTTTACATAGTTAAACATTAGGCACCTCTGATAGTTTACGAAACAGAGTACGGCCTGTGAAACCTCACACAACCATCGTTTTCAGACCTGATAGTGATAGTTTGGAAATAAAGCATCATAAACAGCACCGTTGGGCATGATGCTACTTGGGCATCTAAAAGTTCGGCATCAAGCACCGACTGCAGGGCATGACGATTTTAAACACGACTCCGAAGGGAAGTTTCCACTCAATGTGTTTTCTGATTGCGGAACGCGCCCTGAGAGACTCCTCGATGCCACGACCCCACATAGGGAGGCACCTGTCAGGTGGGGCCACCATGAGGCTACCACTCACTGTATAGTACCATCTGTCAGATTTATCGACGCTACGCCCACCAGGACTCCGACAGCCATGGGAGGTGTCCAAAGTGAGGCGCTCAAGCGATGTCGCGTTCTCAATAATGTGGCATGCCAACTCGACCAAGCTCTTCGCCGAGCAGAAGCCGATGATCGTCACACTCTTTAGGTTGTTGTGGCTGTGTTGTGGTAGCCGTCTCAGTGGCGAGGAATCCCCGATAATAGAATCATGCTTCATGTCAGGCTGCTGTACCTATATGGAAAGCCGAAAATGCTCGTATCAGCAGTTCCACAATACACACTATGCTTGCAAGATGAGATAACTTGGCTGTGTGCATCCTGTGATGCAGAGGCTGGGGTACTACCCTTTTTGAAAAAGAAAAAAAAAGATGAGATAACTTACCTCAAAGATGAAAGTCTCCAGGCAAGGAGAAGCTTCAAGAAAAGAAACCAGAGAAAGGTAATCATAAGCTGGTGAAATAGCTTGTTTTCCGATTAGAGAAATATGCAAGTACTTGAGGTGGAGAAATTTGCTAGATAGCATTGGTGTACTTTCCATCTGCATAAAGACACCTCAGATTAGTTATATGACAAGGCATGAAAACTGTTAGTATATGCAAACAGCTAGTCTATACTCATCTAAACTTTCAGAATATACCTCATTAGGCGAGGTTATGACAAGTCTTTCAACATCTGGCGCACCGGACAGAAGCTCGGTCCGAGCAAACCGGACAATGTTGGGCGGGCCGAATTTTAAGCACGACACTTCTATATTCTTTACATCACTTCCAAATAGAATTGATACTAAGCCACCAAACAGGGAAAAGGTGGAGAGGTTTGGAGCATCGCTCTCTATAAATTGCAGATTTATGCATAGAGACACTCTCAGGAACGTAAGGCACTCCAGCAAAGGTATCTTCAGGCAAACTATCTCACTGCAATTCTTGAGTTCCAAATGTTGAATTGCAGTACAATTGGAAAGAAGGCCCTCTAGCTCATCATCAGCAATCCATACATTACTTAGAAATAACCTTGTCAATTTTCTCCAGCAACCAAGCCCAGCCGTGGGACGAAAGGCACACATGGCAATGTAAAGATACTGAATTGAGTTTTCACCCCCATTAAATAAAAGTGAGCATGGGAAATTGTATTCTTCTTCCCCAGGAATATGCGGCATAACAACGGCGAGTTCTTCAACTCGTGCTGTAACAGCAATATGAATCCACCTATCAACATAAAAGGATTCGACCTTGTTACCATAAAGTTCAAGCCTTAGTTTCTTCATGCCAATGCCCGAGTGATTTTTAAGAATATTGTCAACTTTGCTGATGAGATCTCCATCCAAACCTAGGGCTTTGTGAGTTAAGATTAGGTTGGGATGGCATCTCCATGATCTCAGAAATGAGTGTGATGCACAAGCTGCACGGGCAGCATCCCGCAGTGGTAATAGGGCATGAATATGTCGACGGATATCCTGTATACAAAAGAACGGGAGATCAATTATTAGGGTTATAAAAGAAATTTATAAACTGATTGCAAAAACTTGCTATATTACAAATCTATATTATATTATTAAAACAAGATGCAAAGAAATCACCGCATTCATCCACATAGTCCAAATTATAACGGTTCAGATTTAAGAATAACATAGTAGTACATATGACAAACAGGTATCCATATTCGAAACGACCAGGCTGCCACGTCAGTTAGGAAAACAAGGAGTCATTCGGTATCGAACATGCCATACGTGTGCATTTACTTTTATCCATGGTACAAATTAGGAAAACCGCATATCCATTTCTATCGGCTCCACAAGCCAGACAAGACGGTGAATTTGAAGTCATCATTCAATGAAGTCATCATGGTAGAATATCTCATTAAGCAATTTGGGCAGTCTTTTCTTGCGTTTAAAAAATGCAATAAAAATAAAATTTGCTTAACAAAGGGCTTAGGCAAATCCTATGTCCATATCGACCATCTCGATAAGCCAGACATTGTGAACTTCAACTCTATAGAAATGTCTAAATCATTTTCAGAGCCCTTTTCTAGCACTTTTGTTCGAAACATTGCACTATATAGAATATGATTTGCCTAACATGGTAACACGGGAACAAGTCCAATCAATGATTTCATAGGAGATGTCTTGCAAAAAACATTCATCCACATAGGCCAAATTATTTGGTCCAAATTATAACGGTTCTGATTTAGGATTAACATAGTAGTACATATGACAAATAGGTATCCATATTCGAAATGACCAGGCTGCCATGTCACTTAGCAAAAACAAGGAGCCATTCGGGAATGGACAAACCACATATCCGTTTCTACCGGTTCAGCAAGCCAGACATGTCGGTGGATTTGAAGTGATCATTCAATGGACTCATCATGGTAGAATATCTAATTAATCATTTTGGGAAATATTTTCTTGTGTTTTAAAAATGCAAGAAGGAATAAAATATGCTTAACATAGGGCTTAGGCAAACCATATGTCCATATCGACCATCTCGACAAGCGAGACGCCATGGTGAACTTCAATTCTGTGATGAATTCCATCAAGGAAAGTTGTCTAATTAATCATTTTCCGAGCCCTTTTCTAGCGGTTTTCTCAAAACATTGCACTCTATATAATATAATTTGCCTAACATAGTAACATGGGAACAAGTCCAATTAACAATGTCTTGCAAAGAAAAGTGCCAAGTGTATTCTCTCATTTGTAGTGTATTCTTGGAGAGAAATCAGAGGAAGAAGATAAGAGTTCCTTTAGTTTCTGTGTATACCAGGCAAGCTCTGAAATGTTTCCATTGCATCACAAGGTATGGCTAGGGCAGAAAATGTAGCGGTATAGCTGCTTATATATTGCATATGTTGGAGATTCAGATACCAGAGAAATCATCACACTACTAATAGATCTACAAAATAACACACCTCAAATATTTTGGTGGTTCAAAATTATAGATATAATTTTTTAGATTTATAGAAAGAGAAAATCATTGTTTATCGCTTGTGGGGCGAAATTATAAGGTTTATTATGGTGGGGCAAGACTACGATCCAGTTTATACCTCTGGAAGGTCCGGTATAACTCCGCCATCTTGAGAACCATCATCTTGTTGGCAGGGTGATCCTTCTTGTTTGCAGACATCTGGGGGTACATCAGAGCCATGATAAGAGTACAGAAAACAGTGGGATACAAGCACAAGCAAACAGATCATAGTACAAAAAAACAGCGGAAACGTTGCTGCAGAATTAGACCTATCTATGAGTTAATCAGCTTGCTACATGCTCCTAAACTGAGGCTAAGATCTAAACAGGGATGGAAAACTGAGGCTAAGATCTAAACAGGGTTGGAAAACGGAGGCTAAGATGCGGAGGGGAGCAGGAGGCGTACGGTCTTGGGTTTCCCCTGCCGGCGGCGGATCCTGCATCTGCATGGCTGGATGCCTGAGATGGGGACGAGGGCGAAGGTCTAACAGCCTTTCTGCGGTGCAGTCGTCCGACGAGACCGTGCTGGCGCCGGCGCCGACGATCGATGACATCGAAGCCGGCTGGCCGATGTTAGAGATAGAGCCGTGGAGGAGCACGCGGTTGCAGTTTGAGCCAAATTGGTTGGGCCAGACAGATAGATGGGCAGCGGGCCTACTAATGCAAGCCAGAGGCACGGTACAATGGCAACAAGTTACTCTTTTTTAGGCCTAAACAAAGTAACTTTTTTTTTTCAAAAACAGGAGTGTCCATAAGTATAATCATAGACTTATGGAAAAAAATGCTACAAACTGGATCTACGGATAAAGCCCCCCCGTGATTTCAAACTAACCTCTCATAATTTTATACCAATTGCCCCATCATGTACTACTCCCATCTAGGTTTTTTGTGTGAACACCTTTGAGAAACTACACATCTAGAGTTTTCTACTCACGTAGCGACCCCTCGGCGAGGCCACCATACAGGCGCCTGATCATAACTCTCCTCCAATTAGGGGGTGGAGTAAACTATGCAGGCCCTCTTGTGATGGGTGCACAATGTCTTCTGTGGGCACGGCGTTTTTAGGGCTTGATCGCGAGCAAAGGGTAGTCGTCGTGGCTGGAACAGGTGGATCCTAGTCGGGAAATAGGGAAGACCTGGATGATCTTCTCAGAAGGTTGCACCGTGAGGGAGAAGTGGACGAGCAAATTAATCTTGATGAGTATTTGAAGATTTGAAGGTGGTGGCTAGATGGACTGTGATTGCTAGGGTTTGCACAAACAAGTTGTTCAACCAGAACTCATTTATTCCCGCCATGTATATCGTGTGGAAGCCGGCAAAGAACATGACATTTAGAGCCATAGAAAAACCATTTTACGTAAAATTTCAATGTGTTTGGGATTAGCAGAGAGTAATGGAAGAGGGTCCATGGTTATTTTGTGATTGGTCGGTGCTTCTTAAGGAGTATGATGGCTTTTCTAAGATAGATATGGGTGACATGAACTCCATAGATGTGTTTGTAAGAGCGATGGAAGTTCCTGATGGTTTGATCAACAAAGCAGTAGCCAAAGTGATGTGTGACAAAGTAGGCGAATTTGTATGTCTTGCTTTGAGAAACTTCATTGCAGATTTTATGAGATCAAGGGTTTGGCTCAAGATGGATAAACCCCTCAGATTTGTCCATGTGAAACTACAGAGCGAAAAACCACACAAGACATATCGGGTTATGTATGAGAAGATCCCTCAGTTTTGTGAGGCTTGTAGAACACATAAGTCTACTGAATGCGGTGACGAGATCTGGGTTATTTTCTGATGATGACCAATTTAAAAGCCAGAGGTGAGGCGAAAGAAGGGATGGAGGTAGATGACAGGTGAGTGATGGTGGAAGAGCTGCAAACACTGAGGAATTTTCTAATGATATGATTACAACAATATGGGCACACACCCTCCAAAAAAATAATAGTAAAAATTTGATGGTTCACCCAAAATCACACAAGAGGCTTCCGCTGGGATCAGGTGGGAACCTCCCTCCTGCTCAGACTTCACCAGGGGCTCTAGTGTGGCCAAGATCATCAATTTTTTACAAAATGATCACGAGGACCCAGTGGCATCATTGTTGGCTTTGCAAGAGAAGAAAAGATATGGAAAGAACAAGGATGGTTTGACATTGTAGCCCAAAATTCAGGGTCAGTGGGCTTTGGAATGGAGTTTATCCAATCGAAGCGAAAATAGTAAGTTGGAACTGTCGAGGGTTGGGTAATCCTCGACAGTTTGATCGCTCTTAGGGCTCCAAAGGCGTATGAAATCAGATGTGCTTTTTTTGTCCAAAGAACATTTGAGTACTGCTAGGGTGGAAAAAATTAGTAGGAAACTTTGTTCGATGAGATGATTATGTTGGAGAGCGATAGTATGAGTGGTGGGATCATGCTTCTCTGGCGAAAAAAATATGAAGGCGTCGTCTAAGCAAATTCACTCAAACTACCTGGACATCCGTATTGATGAAGCCAGTGGTGTGGGATGACACATTACTGGAATATATGGAGAGCCAAGTGATGACAAGGATTACCTTATTTAGTAGTATCTTCGCCCCTTAAATGTTA